ATAATATTATAACGATAATAGCAATAATAGTAATTTTAATAATAATAACAATAATAGCAATAATAATAATAATACTCGTACTAACAATAATTCAAACAACACAGAGTTACACTCTAATCGTCATTGCTACCAGTCGCTTTGAAATTTTATTTATCCGCCGAAAGCATTGATTTACGACTTAAATATTCAATCGTTTTTCATTTATCGATTCTGATTTGTTTGCTGACTCTCACAAATGCGCGTACCATATAGCTTAAATCCTCTGCCGATAATCCCTCCGAAATACGGATATCTCGCTCAAATTGCATTCAGTTGATGTCGTATCGATTACCAAATGCTTTGCAAAATCATTCGAATGTTTTGATTTTTGTTGAGTTATATCGAAGGGGATGGAAATTTTTATGCTGAGTTATATCGAAGGGATGTGAACAATAGTTTTGGAATGAACAATTCATGTGATATTGGTGATAATAATGACAAGGATAATGATGGCAATAATAGCATTGATACACCAAGATCAACGTATATATGTTATTCACGTAATTGACCAGTATCTCTAGCGTATAGAATCAAGCTTATTCCGTTGTAAAATATTTTTCATTGTGTGTTCCAATTTCCAATCAGTTATCCCTAAAAATATTTGTATCTTTTAAGATGTAGCGATAACAGCTGATGACGAGAAATTACGTGATCCTGAAGGATATGCGGCCATAGTCCAGTTACACCATCAGATGGATGACGATCAATCTGGCTCGATAGACCGATTCGAATCGAACGATGTCTGTTTTGTATTTTTATTAGCATCAATGTATTGCTATTGTTACAATAATATATTTTTGTATTGAAATCCTGACGGAAATCACCCTCTGAAGAATATCAGAATAGGATTGAAACCAGAAAATACACACTATTCAGTGCTCTCATTCTGCGTTTTTCTCCTGAGTGGAATTGTTTTCCATTTTCATTCTCTACTTCGTTTCACATTCCATTACGAAAACAGTTAATTATCTCACTGATACAATAATTCAACGGTGTGATTGATAATAAAAACAACGCATTAGGGTAGCAATCATCAACTTATTGATATTGTTATCAATTGATAGCAGTTGACACTATCATCAAATCAATTGATATCGAAAATGATTGGTAATATTATCATTATTGTTCAGTTTCTGAAAGAGGATATGAAATTCGGAGGATCGGATCGCGAGAAACGTGAGAAGGCGTTTCATCACAACAATGATGAGCAGATTACGGTCGATGATCTGTGGGAAGCGTGGTTTGCGTCCGAGGAAAGAACGTGGACAACAGCGCAGTTGATGAACTGGCTGGAGAATTCAGTGAAGTTACCGCAGTATTCGAACAATTTGATTGCGAGGAATATCGATGGTCGTGCGCTGCCGAGGTGAGTGCATTATCGCTCTTATTTGCTATCACTGATTATTTTTGACAGCATTTTGTCACTGACACTATTTGACACGTTTTTGACATGTCAAATAGTGTCATGACAAAACAGTGTTAGTGTCAGTGACTATTTTGTCACCATTTTGTCATTTGTTATGATTCCTTATTATCATTATCTTCATTGATAGTAAGGGATCATAGCAAATGTTATGACTGTTGCTATGAACATCATTGTGATATATGCTAGCATATTCTTGTGAAAACTGCGGAAAACAGATTTCGTTGAGCATATCAGGAAAAGTTTTATTTTCCGGAATTACTGTTGACCGAAGAATTCATTGAATATTGAATTTGTTGCGCCTCTAAAGAATCAATTAAGTTGATAATAGAAAAGATCAATTGATATGTCGATCACTGATTGGGTCGTAATGATCAGAGAATTCCTTCAGCTGTTTGTTAGTATGAAGCATTCACCAATGAGTGTTTCAGAATGGCCGTAGCGAATTCAAGCTTCTTATCGCATGAACTTGGCATCAAGAACGCTGTGCACAAACACAAAATACATCTGAAGGCGTTGGATGTGGTTCTCTTTGGATTTTCTGGTTCGTAAACGTTTCCACTGTTCCTTTCGTATAATTTATATTGCAATAGGGTTTTATTGTACAAATGATTGAATGTGCAATAATGAGAGCAGTAATAATAATGAAAAAACACTTGATAATAACGCAAATAATCATGAAAACCATAAAAATAGCAATAATAACACCGCTACAAATAGTTGCCATATGTAATTGCAAGAGCACATTGAGTATGAACCGTGTTCGCGGCGGAGCAGGTACGATTTCAACTTTTGCTTCTAATCGAGCAATAATGCATCGTTATTTGGTGTTTGAACGTTTTTCAACCCACCAGTATTATTCGTTTGTAAAGTTTGTGTTAGAATATAAAACTCACAAATGGAACACTATCATTGAGTCCATTATTATCATTTGACTATCACATACTCATCTCGTTTTGTTTGACCATTCATATTGTCGCATTCGTTCCCCGTCAATGGAAATTTTTCATATTCTGGAAAAACTTCCTTGCTATATTTGAAAATTTATGTGCAGAGTTGATGCGCGCGAATTGGTCTTAACAGATCAAAGATTTTATCCAAGATAATTTCAGAAAAAATTCAGGTTCTG